GTCAAGTTAAATGGAACATTGGCAAGATACTCGTTACTCGTTTGGTTATTGTATTTGTTCATAAGCCTGGCGGTGCAAAAGCCTGGTTTTATCAAAATAAATCCAGGTTTTCTTAAATTGTTTTCTTTCACTGTATGTCAGTAGTATCTAATAAAAAGTTAAGTCCTACTTAAGTTTTTAACTTGAACCAGATTTCGACATACAAGTTTTCATCTAAAATCATCAGCCTACAAGTGCCTACTGTACTGCTAACCAAAGACCTCTTTTGACAAAGGTTTGCCTTCCTATATGAACAAGTCATTATTTTCATTATAATTTTGCAGGTCAAAATCTGTTTCCAGTTAAAACTTAAGAAGGCCTTAACGAGAACACAGTGGAACCTCCAATTGAAATACCAGACGATATATGTATTATATGAATTCATTACAATTTCTTCCAGCATAATATACATGTGTTGGTATATGAATCAGGTATTATGTAAGGACGTTACCTGAAGGAACGGCCATTTTTTAATTTTCATAATTGGAATCTCAGCTTCTTTGAGAGTTGGTCAAGGATATAATTTTACATGCACGACCTAGATAGGTACTACAAAGGCCATTTTCTGACATAAAAAAATTGAGCTTTAATTCAAACAAAATTCACAATTGAACTACAAAATTATGTTTAAATAATTAAATTCCATCTATACTAATATTTTAAAGATGTAAAATTTGTAAGTTTGTATGTAGGGGGTAAGCTATGGAACCGCTGATCGGATTTCCAAAATTCTTTGACTAATAGATAGCTACAATGTTCCTGAGTGCAAAAAACATCACGGTAAGATTCACAGAAGCCGAGCAGCGAGTGAAACCGCGCAAGAGCAGCTAGTCTTCGCGTATATGTAAAATTACGTAATGCATTTTTCTAAAGGAATTTGAGCCATAAACCCACAGAATCCACGTCAAGAAAGAGAGCTATTAATCTAAGAACACCCTTCAGTATACCCCTAACTGGTTATTATTAAAAAGCTAGGCATTTCATTGGGCTATTTGGGGTCTAAATAGCCCAATGAAATGCCTAGCTTTTTTACGACGTTGAAAGGGTAAAAAAATACGCCATAAAATGCCAAAGACTATATAACGTAGAACTCTTATTATTTTGTATATTGCCAATTAGGGGATGATGGGGTATGATTGGGGGTGTCTCGAATATTCACGCCGTTGATTTTTATGTCACCTGCTTGTTATAATAAGGTTGGGGATATTCCCATTTGGGGTCTCAAGTCACTGTGTTATGTGGTGATTTGTTAGTGGGTGGTTCTTTCCACAACTTGCTAGTTTGATATAAGGTTTCATACTGGACCATGATGATTTTTTTATGAAAAAAATAGGTAATTTATTTGGATATGCATATATGTACATACATTTTATGCAAGTTGTCAGCGAGCTTGTTACATTTATATTTTTTGAACCAGCGTGAAACAACCACGGCGTTCTGTTTCGCTGTCTAAGTGAGATTATCGGAGGCCCAAACCTTCCCACTGTCGTCTTAAAGCCAAATCACAAAACCTCTGATTCTTTACAACCCTCAAAAAGCCGTGGACTGACTTTTAACTCTTCTGGTGTTGTGTCCATTGGTGGCCCATATTGCTTACCATCAGGTAAGGTAAAAAATGAAATATCATTAGTATACCCGCGCATTGTAAGAGAAACCCGTATTCTAAACGAAAAATTGGCGAAAATTTTTGAGCTCACATTCTTATAAGTAATGCAGTATTTCGTTCCTTGCAACTGGAATAATATAACTGAAGAAAAATTAATTATACTATGTAGGAATTAGGTGAGTGATTCTTCCGTCAATTTTAACAAAAATGTATTATAATGTTAATATCCTCAACCCAAAATTAACGATTCTGCAGATTAAAATACACATAATGATTTTATTACCTACATCAAAACACACCACTGCTTACAAGCAATCGAACAAAAATATTGAAAACTAGCTACTCTTAAGCGGTTTCACCCGCTGCTTGGCTCAATTTTATCGTAGCGTGATGTTTTATAGCCTATAGCACTCAGGAGCATTGTAGCTCTATCAGTGAAAGAATTTTGGCAATCCGACCAGCGGTTCCAAAGATTACCCCCTACATACAAACTTACAAACATACCAACTTACAAATTTTATCTCTTTATAATATTAGTATAGATGAAAATAATGAGATACTAAGATGCTTAGCAACCCGGGAGGATAGTGATTTATTAAATAAAAGATAAGGTTTTTCGGATAATCATCCCGGTACATTTTTAATTATATATTTCTTAAACAGTGTAAACTTTTATAATCATACCCTTTGCGGTATTTTTTTGGTTCACCTTATGGTATAGCGTTATGGGTCCCTAAGCTGCAATCCCTACCATTACCATCGGATTCCAAATAGGGTCCCTAATCTGCAATCCCTACCGTTACCATCGAATTCCAAAATTTCAATGTAGGTACAGTTACCAACGTAGATGCTTAGTCAATTTGAAAAAAATCGCTTACATCCAAAAATCTTACTGATTATCATTTTGCTACTCATTACCCTATATCCGACTGATCAATGAAACATCGACCATTTTGAATTAATTACTCACGTAATGTTTACTAAGAAAAAGCTTTGCTAATTTCAGGTCACAGGCTTTCAGTTAGCAGTTAGGTTCGGCAGAGAAAACATTTTTTAATCATTTAAGTTGTTTCCTAGCTTGCAATTTATTTTGTTTTATTGGTAGACAAAACCTAGATAGCCCATGGGTGGACGTCGGGCACTGCATATAAAATTCAATTTTAGTGTGAATAAGCACTAATTTGTTGGTTTTACTAACAGTGTTTTAAGATTTTTGGGAGATTTTTCTTTGTTCTTATGTAATTTTAAATTTTGAAAGGAAAAAAATATAGTACTATGTCCGAATTTGGATGACAGCAATGATGATAGGTAGTTAGGCTTTCATACATTAAGCATAACAAGGATATGACACTTTTTTCTAACGTCTTCAAATATTAATTTTTACATATTTTCTTCTGACTGCACGCGAAGGCAAAGGCGAAGGCGAAGGCTACGCGGCAGCTAGGCAACTGCCTAGCTGCCGCGCCAACCGTGCAATCAGTTGGCTGCCGCAAGACGTGTCGAGGGTTCGACTGCCGCACGTAACAACACTTTGTGTGATGCCCAAATTTTTGTTTCGGGTCTGGGTGTGGTTTGTATGTGAAATTGTATGTTTGTAAACGTACCCACGGCTCAAGAGAAAATCCTATTGTAGGGCAATGTTTAAATTAAAAACATTAAAAAAGTCATCATTTAGATACTTTTTATACTGAGCAATGACGGCGATACCCGGCTACTAAGTAATAAGTATGTATAAGTTCAAGCAACTTATATCACCTAGATAATGCAGCAAACTGCTAATACAATGTAAGAAGAAGGCGCTTGTGTCTGTAACACAGTTTATTCTAGCACAGACACAGACGTTCACTTCTCAAATATATGTGTATTGATACATAGGTAAAAAATGGTTTAAATTTCTAAAAGGACGATATCCAAACTAATGTTATAAATGCGAAAGTAACTTTGTCTGTCTGTCTGTAATTTCTTCACGCCTAAACTACTGAACCTATTAGTGTGAAATTTGGTGCAGACGTAGTTTGAAACTCGAGGATAGTTTTTAAAGCAAAAATCAGCAGGAAGTCACTATTCCACGCGAACAAAGTCACGGGCAAAAGCTAGTATAAAAATATAATACGCGTCACACATATAATTCTTATTTTGCATACCCCGTCACCCTTCTCTTTCCTATTTTAGAACCCCAGCTATTATCGAAAAGAAAAGATTCAAAAGACAGCATATACGCTAGTAGAATACGTTCCTCGGGAATGAACTAAGCGTCAAGAAATTCCGAGCTCGAAGTACCTAAGTTCGCGATAGTACTAGCGACTCCTCTACCAACAGAAACCGTCTACCTACATTTTGGATAGACACAGAAATAAATCTACAGAACAATTCCCTATCTTACGGAGACACATTTCATCTTTCCTTTTTTTCTAAGCACAACCACATACCTTATGTACGAAGGTAACTTAATAAAGTATATAAAGTAGGTAGTACATAACATTATTTGGAAGGGAAATATTAGTTAATAACGCTTGCCCTAGTATATTTTGTAAGGGAAGATATATTTGGTAATCCTTTATCTTACTTGCCTTGTCTTATTGCTGGGTACCTAAGTGTTTGTATGGTCTTGTGGTTTACTGTGTATTTGTGGAGGTTAAGGTTATGCCAAATTTTGAAAAAAAAATATGCTTCCGTTGTGTTTCACTATGTCAGGTTTCTACCTTTGGATTGGAGGGGTAATCTCCAAAACCCTAATCCACAAAAGATCGGTAACGCATTCGTTTCTACTCTGGTAGCGGGTGGCCTGCGCTGATTGCTTACCATCAGGAAATCCAGTCATGACGTTAGCCGTTCAGTTAAATAAAGAAATTAATACCATCTGCCAATTAAAATAAAGTTTTATCAGAAGAATTAAAGTTAGTAGAGCCAATAAATATTTTTTTGAAAAGTGAATTGATTTCGATATTTGTCCTCTCCTAACCCGTGTGTAGAAGTGCCGTAGGGGAGACCAAGCTTGCACGTCTTCTGTGCAGGCGTGTGGTATTTCCTGATGAGGCCGAAGATATGGCTTTTTTTGTCAGAGGAAAATCATCAAATGACTTATCCCACCCAGGGTTGGGCAGGAGGGAGTGTCAGACTCTTACTGACTAAAAATCTCCCGTTCTTTCTCCTGCTCTGGGCCGAGTACGCGGTGCCTCATTGCGCTTACCCTGCAACCCCGGCTGAACATCAACCCTATTAATAGTGTCCCGTCTGTAGTGATCTTTGAGGCGCGCGCGGAAGATTCTGGATGGCTGCGACTTGATTACCGCGCAGCTGAGAAGTGATATGCGAAAGGGATGAGGAAGATGACGATGCTGATCTGCTCTGAGGAATGAAGGTTGCTTCCAATCACGTCGAGGTCACAATTTCAAGGGACAAAGAGTTAAGTTCCTTTGTCGAGGCCGTGGTGCGGAGTGAGAGGAAATAGGGCACTAAAGAGCTGATGTTTAGCCCCTGGGCAAGATCAACAAGGCACGGCGGCCTCGGCCTAGCAGAAAAAGGAACAGGGGGTTTTAGTCAGTAAGAGACTGACACTCCCTCTCGTCTCATCCTGTGCGGGAGAAGTTTTGATTATTTTCCCTTCACAAAAAAGAGAGTAAGGTTCATTGTTTCCTTGTATTCAAAAGAAATTAGAATATTTCTATAGTACCTCAACCTATACGTATTTAATAAGAAAACAAAATTGTCGTATCTTCAAAATCATAATCTTTGTCGTGTTTAATCGCCGCCGTGAAGCATGGCACGGCATAATAATCTTTATTACCATTCATATAAGAACAAAGGCCGTCTTATTTAGCTTGACGTTATTGGATTTCACATTTATTATTAATAAATATTATAAGCGAAATATTTTAGTTAATCATATTAAATGTGTTTTGTTTGTGTGTGGTCCAGATATAGGTCGTGCTATCTCTTTCGTTCTGATAGTGTAGTTTAAGATTCGTTGTGAGTCATTAGAAAAAGAGGTCAATATTTTGATATCATTTTAATCAATGAATCCTACTTATGGATGGATGTTTGTTTACAGTTTCAAAAAATTTGGCATAGACATATATTATAGTCCTGGGTTTCCTAGCAGAACTATGGTGCAATCAAAATAATTAATAGGCTTGCTTAATTATTTATTAATTTTACAGAAACCGTTGCCCAAACTTTTACTTTATCCGGTGTCGTGGGTGTTATTTTAAACTTACAATTTCACACACACATCACACCCTGACCCGTAACAATAATAATTTAATTTTGTAGATCACACAAGGAGATGTCCCGAAAAAGAATTAAACCCGTGGCAGTCGGTTGCCCAGCTACCACGACAACCGCGCAGTCTCAGTTACGTAAGTAACTAAGCCGTAAAACATAATAAATAATTTTATATGCCGCACGAAAATTATAGCATGGAAATTCTTTAGTTCATTCTGAATAAATTGTGAATTTCTTCTAAATTAGGAACTGAATATTCTCTTTTAAGGTGCACTAATGAGCTCATATCTAGATGATAATTGAGGCCACAAACAGCACGGGTCTGCGGATGACGAGCAAGAGAAGCTTGTCGCCCGACCAGACCTTAAAGTGCCATTAGATCACTATCGATGAGGCCCTAAAAAGGTTGTTGTCTAGCCATGGTTGCTAGTTGCAACCGCAATAATCTATTGCAGCCTGGTCCAGAGCAGGAGAAGGAACGTTGTGGTTTTTATTTTTATTTATTGTTATTAAGGTCAGCCAATTAAAAAACAAACAAAAATCATTATTTAATCATTAATAGTCGGAATTTTCAGCGGGAGAAGCATGTGATGATTTTCCCCACTTACAAAGAAGAGTGTAATATATGCAATCAACAGGTTCTTACAATATTATTTATTCACTAGCTACTCTCGTGCGGTTTTACCCGCTGCTCAGCTCCATTTGATCGTGGCGTGATATTTTATAGCCTGTAGCACTCAAGACCATTCTAGCTATCTACCAGTGAAAGAATTTTGGCAATCCGACCAGCGGTTCCAAAGATTACCCCCTACATACAAACTTACAAATTTTACCTCTTTATAATATTAGTATAGATTAATAATTAATCAATAGTTGCTTATCACGATCACTATGATCATGTTCATCAACGAATTAGTAGGCGTTGTCAGTGGGTGGCATATCATAATGTCGTCATGTGAATAATTAGAAAATTGCCAAGATTGTTATAGGTGACACATTCTTACTTGTTTCTGTATAAAACTAGCAAACGGACATATACCAAGGTAATGCCTTTTTACGTATCCTTCCCACGCCCCGGCGCTGCAGGATACACTCTGAACATAGGGGCTCTCAACAACACGATCTCAGACCACTAACTGAGCTCGCTGCCCGACCTATTCAAAACCAGTACCGAGCGTACGGCCCATCATTTCACACGAATCTTCCTGGCCCAATCTTCTCCTCATCCTGATTTAGGGATTGGGGAGGGATTTTCTCTCCAAAAGGCTGGAAATACACTCTGCTCGTTTGCCGCCACACCACACCACTGATGGGACCAACTAGGACCGGGTTGCAGAAACAAGCGTAATTATATATCGCGGGGCCCAGAGCAGAACAAAGAATGGGCTAGTTTTAAGTCTTGTCATTTTCCGATTTTAGTATCCAAAAAGGAAAGTAGGAATGCTTATTTATAAGGTAACTTTCTGCCTTGAATATCATTTAAAATCAATTAAGTAGTTTTTAAGTGAAAGAGTAAGAAAAATCTATTCAAACTTACTAACTTTCGCTTATAATTTTCTAATAGGATTAAATGGTATTTAGAATTTTAAACCATCTTACAAAAGATGACTTAAGTCAATAAGTAAATAATATATTTCAAAAAAGTCTTAATAAAAATATTCTCTTCTTCTGCGACTGTCTTCAGTTACCTTCTTCTTTTGTAGTTTTCTTCTCTTCTGTTCTCTTGCTTTGCTGAAAAGTCGGCACTAACACACCTGAAAGTTTGCTCACCTTGATCAAAACACAGGTTCGAGCAACAATTCAGGCCCATCAGTGTACCGTACTTTCTTCTTTATAAATCTTCTTCTGTTATTTGATCTTCTATTTTCACACTTCTTCTTTCTTCTTTAAAGCTGTTACATTTAAGAAACTTACCTTAGAATGCTAGAGCAGTTAAAATATTTTTACAGTTATGTATAAATATTTTAGCCACATTTATTCATAAAAAAAAAAAATTCTGGGGTAAAATCGTCCAGCAATTACTTCTACCCACTCCACAGGTCTGGGGAGACGGAGTGTAAATCTCTTACCGACAAAAACACCCGGTTCCTTCTCCTGTTCTGAGTCGAACATGCAACGTTGCATTTCTAATCAATTACAATAGGCTACAATAATATAACTACCGTCTAAAAGACCCTACTTCTATAAACCGGACAAAAACATTTAAATATTTTTTTACAATAAAACAAATGACGGTATAAAAGAAGTACACCTTAAATACATCTTGGAGAACATCAGTTGCAAGTTGGAGTTTTTTTTAATCAATAATTTTTGCAAACATGTATCTTAGTCCTTAATTTATTTATCTCAGTCTAGATTTAGTGACTTGATAACAATCTATACGGATGGTAGATAAATGTCAGAAGCCTCGCCTTTCATACTGTTGTAAAAACTCATCAAAAAAAGGTTCCGTAGTTTAAGAATCTAAGTTTTTTCAAACGAGTGTAGTGAAGGAGTGTTGCCAAGAATTTTCAAAAAGAAAAGATATTGTAACCCGAATTTATTTTTTGCAATTTTAGGATAACTTGTAACTACCTATTTAAGACTTATACTTCATTTTTTTTGGTAAGGCCAATAAAAAGTTTTTATTTCGAAGTTATAACGAAATATTAGTGTAAACATGAAACGAATGGCGAACTTAGCCAATGAAAATGAAAAAAAAGGTGAAACGAAATACATTTTTTTAGTATTAAAGAAATTTTGTAGACTTTAATTTTCTTAGTAAGTTTCCACCATAAACGTAAGAGGACCAAGAAATTAAAAAGAAAATATTGAATAGTACGCGAGCAACGTAAAATAAAAATAAAAGAAATGTGCAAGGGACCCCAAAAAAATTAAAAAAAACAAATCTTGCAACACACAAAATTTTAATCATAGGCTAAGCTAGGACTAATTATTGTTTCTTATTATTAATAATAGACCTGTCTAGTAGCCGTTTAATAATATAATAAATGATTGATTCAGTAAGATATTGTAATCGATCTAGTTTTTGTTGCACATGAGTCATTTGAAGGCAGACAACTCTTAGTGTAAGGTTGGCTGCCATATTATATTTCTTTTGTAATCGATACACAAATAATTTTTAATAACTTACGTAATTAGCATTCACTTTTTATTGACATGAATGGTGAAAGACAATCAATGATGTTTAACACGAGTTTTCGATGGTGATTGATGATTTCTGTTAGGGAACATGTAAGATTAATTCGCTCATCTTTTAATAAATGGTTTTAAAACGTATAAAAGAATTTTGCTCTCTCTCTCTTGAATAAAAAACTGCAGATAATTTATGTCATTTGTATGCGATTCGTTAAAAGTCCTCATAAGGAAATTTTTTAAGTTATTATAATCATACGAAAATAAGAAAGAAATCGATAAATTGCCTAAAAATCTCAAAAGAATTCATCACATACTAAATACATGTAGGCAGATAAATCTAAAACCAACAAAACTAACAACCTTTTAACAAAACCATTACGGAAATAAAACAAATCAAACAAAAGACACTAGACGTTATCAATAAAAAAAAATCTACATCATTACAATGACAGCTAAAATGGCGCGAAAAGTCTTTTGACATCTGTCAATTATACGCGTTCGGATACACGACACAAATGGGCACGAGTTTATTGCGAATAAACATAGCGATCTACATAGATATTATATTATATTATACTAAGTTAGAATTGTTATAATATTTGTGTTAGTTTCAAAATAATGGCTGGCGGGTTGTTTAACCGTTGACACTAGTTGCGTGGGGCGCCCGCAGCGATGTGTTTTTAGGTTAGTTTGTTTATTGTTAGGTTTGAGTTGTACGTACGTCTGTGATGATTGGTCGTTTCGGAAAAATACTTGGAAAACGCCAAGCTTGAGAAATGGTTTGTTGTTTATTTTTATGGTTGTTATTTTTGGAATCTTATTATCTACTTTTTATATTTATATGTATTTAGGTATGTTGTGGCTTGTCTCTTTCTAGATTATGCATTTTATATTTGGAAGGGTAGTATAGAGCTTGAGCTTGTTATATGTATGTAAATACTATGATATGATTCCCATTTGATCAGACATTTATTAATTTTGACAAAAGAAATACTATATTTTATAGAAAACTCCATCTCTATCTATCCCCTATAAAGAGCTGTGACCTCAAATTTAGAAGGCCAATATTCTTTACGACATTTTCGAGCAACTTTTATCAAAAGATGAACTTTGATACGGAAAGGTCAGTGGTACTTGGAGGGTTTTATAACTTTGCCTCTCTCCAACTTTGTGAGAGAAGTGGGCCCTTCAAACTCTCAGCGGTAGGGACAGAAGAAATGCCGAAGTTTACTTGTGAAGAAATGAAAAAAATGTATACAGATATTGTACAGTATGTTAAGGACATTTAGATCAATTTTTGCTTTTTTGGCATTTTGGTTTGGACAACTGAAACCACGTCGGTAATATTTTGGGGAGTTTCTAGAAGGCAGTTTAAGATTTCTCGAAATGGTAATAGCAAAGAGAAACATCTTCTTCTACATAAAAAATATAATATTTTTAGAGTGAGAGGATTTCGTAGATATTTTCAACAGATAATTTTTGAATTTCATCGACAACTCACATAAGGTCTAGTTTTACGTGGATTGCCTGCAAAATTTTTCTGACATATACATAAAAAGTTACCTCCATCCATAATATAATTCTCCAACAAAAATATATGATATAACATCGCATTGGATATTGCTATCAACAAAACGGTCAAATTTGTTTCGTTCGAAAAAAAAATCAATAAACCCAACCCTTTTTGATAACCCCGACTGGAAATGTAATTGGATAGTTTATCAAATTACATAGCAAACTATGTACATATATATATAATATGTACATAATATCAATTTACTAATGGAAATATTACTCGATCAATCTTCGTATTTAAGCTAATGTAGTTTTCAAACAAAGTTTTTGGTTTGGTTTAAGGGTCAAAATTCTTTGCTTTGAATTTCTTTTAGGAGTTATAGTTATAACATTGTCATGGCTTTTTAACCTATAGATTGATGTGTACGTATTAAGACATCATATTTGCATCAGTTATGGTAAGTAAAGAGTCCTATCTAATAGGGGTTGAGTCAAATTGTTGTTTCGGATCTAGGTGGATTGTGTATGTGTATAATGTATAAATATGTTTGTAAATTTTACCACGACGCAGTAAAAACCTTAGTGTGTGCAAAGTTAAAACAAATACTAGACACCAGCTACAATTTCAAACTACACACTATTACTGTGAAATACTGCAAAAACCGAAATTAAAAAGTAAAACCCTATAGGCCCTTCCTTCAATGAAGCTTGGAGCCGCTCAATCAATGAGGTAATTCTGGAAAATTACACAATTAATCCAGAAACGCATCCAAAATACTAGTTTTATAATAAATCACAGATCAAAAACAATAGTAAATTCAACTGACACAAATACCCCCAGTACCTACTGCCCAAACCAATAATGAAAACGAGATCAATTCAGTGTTGCCAACATCAATAACTGTTCTGCCAACATTCAGTCGTAAATATTACGGAATAGAGGTTTATTTTAAATCATAATTTAGCCTCCTTTGTAAATTGTTTATGAGAAATACGTTTATGTGTTATGCGTAAATTTCTTGGAAAGTCGCTGATGTATATTTTTGTTTTAGACCACTTTTTTACTTGGTAGTACAAATCTAGATAGAATTGTAACAAGCAATAAAAAATCTAGAACAATTAAAATCAAATCTTGAGTCATGGCTTAAATTTAGTTGATTCTAGTTAGACAAAATCATTAAAGGCTGATGCTGATAATTATGATGCTGTTGCGTCTGAATGTTTGTATAAGACAGTGACAGCAATAGTTTTATTCCTCATATAACATTTATCTGACTATTGAAAAATCAGCCCTAAATGACATAAGATAATTACAATAAAATGTTATTTAATAATCTGCTTTGCTTGGAATCTTGAATGGTGTTAAACAGAAGTTAAACGAAGATGACTAAATAAACAACGGCCATAAATTAATCCGATTTAAAAAATAAAAATAAAATACAATTAAGATTCGGAATTTGAAACTTGTAAGATATATAATACGCATAACTACCATAAACACTAAAAACCAAGTAAAAGAGCACGTTTCGGCGAAAAAAAAGAACATATGTTTGCCATAAAGCAAAACAGGTACTCTTTGATTGAACATGACTTACTACTCCCACAAATCGAAATGCTTTATGATGGGGTATAAACACAACCCCCCATCCCCTCAACCGCATCACAAAATGATAAACGACGTGAATTCACAAGAGACATTAAAAAACACGTAACAGCTAAAAAAACAACTCGGTTTTTTAAAGCGAAAATGGACATGTACACCATAAATTTTTCACGGTACCAGGGCAACGTTTATCAGGAAAAATATAGCCGTATTCCCAGTTCGAAACCCTGGGAACCTGTTGCTGAAAACGGATGAGTTCCATGGGAACTTTTTGTCCTTCAGTCTTTACGTGGACTGTGTAAGTTGTTGGATGAAAAAAGTTTGTTGTAGTTGAAGAAAATGGTTTAAGACATCTTCGGTAGAAAGTTAAACATAGTTTACTCTTGATCTACTACTTGAGTGTACTATAGTGATCCTTTGATAATAATTTAAATCTTCTGATAACCTTAAAAAACGGCATGTTAAACGTGTAAGTCTTTTTCCGATTTATATTTACTTTCTTTGATTGTTCAGACACCACTGTCATACGGCAAAGGAAAACATTCTGAGGAAACGTAGACTTATAATTTCTAATTCATTATGTTTGAAATCGCCAATCTGCCTTGAACAAACTTGGTATAATATATTGCTCAAACATTCTCTTCACCTTCGTGTGAGAAGAGGCCTTTGCTCAGCAGTGCACCCATTATAGGTTTACGTTGATAAAACGTGAAAGAAATGTTCTCATTCGAAAATCAATTCCTAATTAATAATCACATTCCAAATTCAAAAAGCAAGTCTAACCGAAAACTCCCAACTCCACGAATACAAATGTGATATCAATTACTACCTATACCATCAACTCACCCAAAACTAATCCTTCAAAAACATCACGAAAAAGCAACATAGCCCCATAAAACAATTTGCCTTCACGAACAGCACGTGAATTTAGTAATTTTCCTTCTCCTATATTCCCATAGACACTATTATATTTGTGTCCACATTTAGGTTAATGCTACCACACCCGTAGCTCGCGTGACCACAGACGAAGTGATAGCCTTGGTAATTGAATTAGCCAATCCCCCCTCCCCCTAGCCCATCCACTTAATGGTATCCATTCTGATGATGGTTATCGCAAAATGTTCAGTTTTTATGTTTAATTTGTTGTATAATTGATTGATTGATATTGATAGGGGTGGTGTTTTTTGTTGTTAAGAAGTCATTGACCGATGTGTTTGGTTCGACTATTGCAGTAGTGGTTTTTGAATTTTGTTTAGTATTTTAGGCGATTTTGAAAAGCGTGGTTCAGCATTGAGCAGCATCTAAAATTGCGACTGCAAGTGCACTAATCTGCTGTCGCTCCAGTCCGATACCATGCTACTCCAGGAGAAGGAACCGCGTGATTTTTTGTAACTAACTATTATGAAACTCCCTCTCGCACCTCCCAGAACGGGTAAAAATTATATGTTAATGTATTTATCAATTGGATTTTGTGTTTCTTTATCACTTGGCATTGGATGATGATGCTTGCACATCATTTTCTAACAAACATAACCACTTTTTACTAGCGTAATCTCTCTCTCTCTCTCTCTCTCTCTCTCTCTCTCTCTCTCTCTCTCTTTCTCATTATCTGAATCCGAGCCAATGCTCAAATGCTGAAAAAATCGTTTTGTGTTCAATGAGAATGAACAAAATTATGCACAAAAAAACTATTCGGAAGGTAGTTGGTATTTTGTTCATAGCTGAATGATGAAGAGTCTCTATGATTAGGATGAACTTTTTCTCTGTAACAAAGGACATTAAACTTTGAACTTTAACCTCCTAATTAGAAAGAACATCATAAATTAAGCTACTACTAATTAACTGTTACACAGACTAGCAATAAAAATGGCCTAGTTTTTCTTATTAGTTCGACCTGAATTTGTACTCTTTTAGCATTCGTTAGTGAAGTCAATATTTCGTCTGTTAATTTGCAATAATTAGTAAAAATAAAACTCTGTTACTATGTTGATAAGTATGCATAGCCAGAAAGAATGAAAAGTACCAAATAAAGAAAGGAGACAAAATACTATTATAGAGAGTAAGTGAAAAACCACAAGGCTGTCCTTGTGGTTTTTGACTTACTTACTTCTCGTAACACGTATACACGTAAAAAGAAGAATTCTATTAGAAGCTATTATTAATCCTGTGATTGAAAAAAACAACATTTGACAATGAGATTTAAATAAAGTCAGAAAATGAAAAAAAAAGATATTGAAGAGGCTTAAAGACTTCAATATTTTCGGTGATACATCCACCGATGGTGACAACATGGCTGATATCTGGCATTAGCCTGAAGATAACTAATGAGGTGCGATCACTTCTAAACTTTCTTTAAATAGTATCCTTGAGGTTTTTTGATTTGGCTCCATGGGAATTTACATTTTGGAACGATCACCTAGCTTCACTTATACAAACGTACTGACAGACAATTCAATTTGACATTTCAATGTGGCTGTTTATGGATTCATTGAAATAAATGCTTTGAATTTGAAATAACAACCACCTAAAAATGAGAATGATGAAGCAATTGGGCAACCAGTAATATGTTTGACTGACTTACGTCATAAGATGATAAGAAAGGAAATTTTGTTTAATTTGGTGGTAAACGCAGCATGAGACGTATGATCTAACTACGATCCATCAGGCTATCAGGGTGTGGTCTCAATAGCCTATCAAACCCAGCAGGCTAACAGCAGTTAATATCTTTATAGCCGCGTCCATCTTCCATTACGTGTTACGGTTAATGGTAAAAATTAGGTTAATAGACAATTTACGAGTTGTCTGAACTAGCCCATGAGTCACGATACGCCTGCGAATTGTTATAATTTGAGCGGAATTCGTGATACTCGTGAATTGAGTATTTTTTTGTTCAAATTTCGTGTATTGTCTATTGGAGGGTGGGTGCGGTAGTGTGTTTTTCCATTAGCTATAGCTTCTACTGCGTTTCAATTAAATTGAACTATTATCACATTATCATCATCATCAGCCGAAAGACGTCCACTGCTGAACAAAGACTTTCCCGTTCTTACCACATTCAGTGTTCCATAAAAAATATTATTTCATGTCTAGCTTGTATATCTTCGTTGACAACATATTCTTGTTTTAATTATATTGTTAATTTTCTTAGAGAAAAAACTCTTTCTATCTTACACGTCGATCCAATAACGTCTATCGAAATCAAAATGTGAAGCTTGCATTGAAGCGGTGTTTTTTATCAAGTATTCTTATATATAATATTCATCGTCGACATGCACTCGTAAATACTACAGCATCAATAAAGTTTTAGTACTATATCCCTTAAAATACAGCTTGCAGGAATCAGTACGAATTACATTATAACAAGATACTTTAATCAATATTCTGGATTGAAGCCAATTGTGACCTTCTTCGGTTATAAAATTTGATATTCGAATTTTCTAGAAAGTAAAAAAAAATAAGGTTAACACGAGCGATTACTGGCGTTATGCCAGATTCTGGCTTTCCTAGTTCGTACCTTATTCTTCCGAAATTGTTTCAAGTCTGGCTCGTAAGCAGAAATTGTTTAAATAGCAATTATTATTATGCACTGCAGTAGTTTTGCAATTTATGGCAATTCTTGGCACACTATGAATAGATTACTGCATTCATGCATTCGTGGTACAGTTTCGAATAAATGCGAATAAAATATTATCGCGAACTAGTTTCTTTGTTTTTAAAACAGCCATTTGTTAAAAAGTTTTTGTTGAAATAAATATTTTTTAATTTAAGTAGAAGAATTTAAAACGTGTTTTTGGGTGTCAGGTCACAAAAAAGACGATTTTTTTAAAATTAATCCACTTTTCCTCCCGATTTATTTCTCTACTGAAAGTAAGTAGTATAAATCTTAGACAGTACATTATAACTGGGAAAAAAATAATCATATCGATAGTTTCTTAGTTTCGAAACGAGCTCTCATTTATTAGCTTTGGGCTCCTGGCCACTTAGACATAAGTGAAAACATGATAAATTATAAAATTTGGAAAGAAATATATTTTATTTTCAAAATGAAATAATAACTTAACACTACACCTATCTACAAAAATATTAAAATTAATATCCACCATTTTTTATCATAAATTTCACTGATCGAAATCTATCAATCAAGCATATTAATTAGCCATCACCGTCGCCATGTGTGCGGACCGGCGCGTGCGCAACTTACGAACGTCTGACAGATACGCGCCATATGTTCATTTTGGCGGCGAGCTTTGTGCTAAACAATATACATACAAATATATACCTGACCAAGGTACGCTGACCTTTCAGTATATAGAAATTGTTCATGCCTTGAGATCTTTGTAAGTTGGTCAGTCTCTCATATGTAGATGTTTTTATAAAAATCGAAGTTGAAATCAAAAAATCGAAATTGTACGGTGGTGGTCACTCAAGACTACTTACAGTAATATGTCACGATTTTTTTTTTCGTATCAATTTGATTATTAAATAGAAAAAAAACTCACATAAAAATTATTAAATATCGAAGAATTTTCCTATACTTCATTATTTTATTCCCAAACTCGGCACTTACTTTTTTAAATAAAAAAATATATTTAGCACTTTCTTTAACGCCGCCATATTAAAAGTGCTTGGTCATCGGCGCGTGCGCACTCTACAGCGGATACGAGCCACATGTCGGCTTCATTCAATGATCTTTGTACGCAGCTTTGTTTTTTGGATTCCAACTACAAAAAACCAGTGTTTAATGGTTTTTTTTTTTTATTTTGTTGCTAGCACTCATGTTATAATTAAGAAGAAAAAACTTCCTAATTCCTTATGGAAGTTAGGACTAGAAAATTTTTTTTTATAGAAAGTTTAGTTATTTATAGGTAACAAAGATTTAATTTAATATGAGCTAGCGAACCTAGGTGCAATGCTAATACTAAATTTCTCCCCTATTAAATAGACGTAATTATACATCAAAACCGTCCTCTTCAATCACACTATATCTTAAAAAAAACTGTATTAGAATACGTAGCGTAGTTTTGAAGATTTAAACATACGTAGGGATATCGGGACAGAGATAGCGACTTTGTTTTATACTATGTAGTGTTAAGACTTTAAAGTGGTACTCAGAATCGTTTAATGATTTTTAAGTAACGATTTTAGTTCTGGGGACAATTAAGTAACTAATAACTGAATGCAGCGGATAGATTTAAGACTCTTTTTTTAATAACAACACACTTCTGAATTCAATAATCAGCGAGGATTATTCTATAGCATTTTACATTTTATAATCTTTCATTCTTTGCTACTGGTTGTAGGGTCCAATTTGCAATATTTTTAGCATTGTTTTTAGCTAAAATTGTTATGTTAGCAACAAAATGTTCACTCACTGCCTTTCCTTACGACTTCAGATCAGCCGTTATAGGAAGTGATCACTAAAACATACATTCATTTAACCTACATTCAAGTAAGAAGCACGACTGGTATCTGGTTTATATTGCCAAACGTTCCATATTCCTTCCCGGCCCAGCAACAGATCCGAACGTGTATTACGCCAAACAGATTGATCTCACATTAAAATGTATTTTTGGACCGTAAGATTAATATTATTTGGCATAAACTCAAAGTTTTTAAAACCGTCGAGTGATGATACGCAGACTGGCTCTCGTATTATTATTTATTTTTCTAAATATTTTATTAGTTTCAAAGTATTAGGGTTCTGGTTTGTGTTTAAGATCTAAGATTAGGTTGGTTGGTTGATGGTAGTTGGTTTAATGATTAGTATGTGGTTTTTAAGACGTTTATGACTGATAAAGTAGGTTTTAGATACTAGATGGATACATGCTTCGAAACTGCTCAAGGAGAAGCAAAAGCTATGTGTGTCTTTTTGATCCAAAAACATTGGAGTAACATTATTTTCTATCTTTTTTAATACTTACTATGTAATTGGGGTCAAGCCAGGTCATACGCGAGGTCACATTGACTGTTTGATTTAAAATAGGTATACATTCATATTCATATTTATTGCATTTCATAATGTACATTACAAGGAATAGTAAATATAAAATTGACACAATTATTTACCCTGATAA